GTATCATGTTTAGAAAATTGCACAAAGGGCACCACCTGAAATCATGCCTAGTGTACCAACTTGGCTAGGGGCTGACTCTGCATTCGCACTTATGGGGCTTGCTGTTCTGTTTTGGTTTCCTCTGGGTGTGGAGAATGCACTTCGAGGTTTTTGTGGACTTTGGTTCTTTTTGGTGCAGAACAAAATCGTTTCAAGACGAGTGATGTTTTTTTTTTTTGGCTTGACATGGACTTTTGTGGAGTTACAATATGCATCTGGGTCACATGTCTGGGGCTTCTGCCATTTGGGGTTCAAGTGTTTTTAGGGTCTGTGTTGTAGTTTTTGGGCTGCAGTCTTGTTAGTTTTACGGATGAAGGTGTGCATTTGCAGTAGTGGCTGTGGTGGAACACTGGTAGCAGCRTTTACATTTTTTTTCTTTTTGGCCGTTGTTGTCTTTACACCTATTGTGCTATTGATGTGTTGCTTGTGTACTGATGTGTCGCTTGTGTACTGATGTGTGTATTTTCCTTGGTTTGATTGGTTGCAAGGTTGTGTCAGGGTTTTATACAGTAAAGCTTGTTTTATACTTCAAGTYGCATGTCTTTTTCCCCCTGCTGAGTGACAAATAATCGGACATCATTTTCCTGAGCAAGTATAAACCAGCTGGCTGAAGACGACCCCCACCCCCATAACAATAACGATGGCTGAATATTGTGGGGGGGGGGGGGTGTTTGTTTTTCACCCAATTGGTGTGTTAGGTGAAGAGTCCATGGAGAAAAAACTTGGTGGTGATGGAAAAAATACATGAACATCAGCTGCATGCTCACATTCAAAAGGATCAAACCAGCTGCTCGTCTAGCTCTTTTAACAACAATATTTTAAACAAAATAAMATCCCGAAGGAAGATCTGCTCTGAGTCCTGCTCTGGTCCATCTCAGCGCTGTTTTGCTCCTCAACAGTTCTGACTGGGGGCAATGTACACAACGGCTGTCACCAGGGGATAGCAGCAGGAGAGTTGACGAAAGTTACAATGTTTTGTCACTCAGCAGGGGGAACAAGACGTGCGACTCGAAGTATAAACCAACCTTAAGTAGCTGGTTTCTTGTGACAAGTACAATGTAGTTTAAAATATCCACATAAATAAGAGTGTATTTATTAAAGTGCCTGTGACATCAGTTTTTTATAATAAAAAATGAATGTATTTTTGGAAAGATAACATTGATAGCATATTTTAAAAAAAGATTTCATGCCGCTGAGATGAAAAATTGTTGAGATATTTGCATGTGAAGAAACAGGAAGTGATGTCAGAGGGGAATGTCTGAATGTAAACTGAGAGTTGCTAAAATGACTAACAACACAGACTGTAGAGAAGAATCTGATGTTTCTTTACAATATTTCAATCACTATAATAGAGATGCGAAAGAGTCATAATTCAAATAACATTGTTTCAATAAATAAAAAAAACTGGGAGTTTTCTTTCTCAAAGAGTTCCCCTTTGATGTCACTTCCTGTTTCACTTTAGCTGAGCAAAATTCAAAAGAAAATAGGTTAATTATGTGACATAATGGGTCAAATCTTGTGTATTTTGCCAAGTTTCTTAAATATAAATATATTTTCCATGACTTTTTGTATTTCATGGATATGCATGTCACAGGCACTTTAAAGATAAAGTAATATCGACTAATTCAATGAAAGCTAATGAACTGCTCAAGGAATTAATAAGATCATAATTACAGAATTACAGTCATTGAACTGCCAAGGGGTTATCTCGTATTGAATAAGAAAATGAATAAGAAGTATAAATTTCTACTTTGTTAAGCAAGCAACCCCTTTAGAATGCAGCAAAATATAACATTACTACAATAGAGTGGTAGTAAATGGTTGAATAAGTCAGWGCAGTCAAAATACTGTGGTTTGTGCTGWTGGAATTGCAAGTAACCACAGTTACTTTGAGATAACCTTGTTCAGGAGGCTACATAGGGTAATAACATAGTTTTACGTGTGTTAGTCCTGTATGCAGTCACAGCAAAACACCTGTCTGTAGTTCAGTCTATAATGGACATCATTTGTATTAAAGTGCAGATTAAAATAGATTCAATATTGTTTTTTTAAGCTGATGTGCATGCAAGTTTTCCATGTCTTAAACAAATGTTTTCTGTCTCTCTTTTAGGTTGTCAGGCAGCAATGTCCCCTCTCCGATCGTTAGCAACAAGAACTGGCTCCGGCTGCATTTTGTGTCTGATAGCAACCACCGTTACCGAGGTTTCAGTGCACATTATCAAGGTAAGATGAGAGTATGTCTGCAGCCATAATCATCTAGATGCACACACATACTAAAAAAAAACAAAAAAAAAACAATAAAAAAAACAATAAAAAATTAATTGCGGTTATTGATGGTGAACAGAATTCTATATGTATACATATAGTTTATAATGAGCACTTTTTAATGTGACTTTTTAAGGCTTGTTTTCTTTTTCTCTACAGTTTTGCCATATTTTTGTTCTCTTTCTGACACCCAGCTTTCCCTCTAACTCCTTTTAATTACGCTTCTTGCTTCCAATTGTCTAACCTCTTCCCTTCTCTCACCATCTTTGTCTCTCTCTCTTTCTTCCCCTCACTCTTTTATTTGTGCTTTGCCTTTGCCTTTCTCTCGGGTAAATGCTCACAAGCTTGCAGTTACTGCTTTATATATTTTTTTTCTCCTCTGATATGGCTCCTAAATGTTAGAAAGCAGTTGGAGATTTATTTGGCAACAATAATGTCTCCCAACAGCGATAATGAGAGGGAAATTTGTACGGCACAAAGYGGTTGGAGGAGACAGTGTTTTTATTTACACTTCACTTGTTTTTCTGACCTCTCTACCTTTTTGTTTTTGTCTCAAATTGCCTCTTAAGTCCATTCGGCATCAGCAGTCACTTAGAATGTGTGTATCCGTTTTTGGCCAGAGGCATGTGGTGTTCCCACAGCACACTTAGAAAACAGTGTGTGATTAAAATGTCCAAACAGATGGCGTTTTATGGAGAAGTGATGGAAAGAAGGCTAAAGAAGGTGGAAAATGTAATCATAATAGTCTTACCCAGTGGTTCTCAAACTGTGGGGCACGATCCTTAGAGGGGGGCGCAGTAATGTGACAG